CAGAGGTACGTCCTGCTGTGTTCACTGGGGCTTACTCCTAAGTAAATGTGCACAGGAGTGAAGTGTTATAGTGCAATTCTGTGCATACTTACTCAGAAGTAAGTCCAACTGTGTTTAATGGAGCTTACTTCCAGGAAAGTGCACATAGGGCATAGGAAGAGTCCTGCTGGATCAGATCAAAGGCCCATCTATTCCAGCATTTTGATCTCACAGTCTTCAGCCAGTCGCCTCTGGGAAGCCTACAAGCAGTACATAAACAGAAAAGCATTTCCTGCTCCTCATCACCTGATGCTCAGAAGCACGCTGCCTCTAATAGTGGAGGTGATATATAGACATCAGTATCAATTGATAGACTTATCCTCCATGAATTTATCTAATCTCCTTTTAGAGCCTTCCAAGTTGGCAGCCTCCGCTACATCGTGCGGTAGCAAATCCGATATTGTAACTTAGTTCTGCCTGCATGCCGTAGTACAGGTTTATATAATTATGCATGGCAGGGAGAAAGAAGCCTTTCTGCCTCTCTTTTATGGCAAGAACTTGGGGTTGTGTCTTGAAATTGATTTGTGGGGGATTTAGGAGAGACAAGAGAAAGTACCTCCTTCCACAATTCATAATTAATTTCTTGGAGTGGCTGCCTGAAGGATGTGATGATGGCTATTGGCCTAGATAACTTTAAATGGAGTTTAAATGAATTCAAGGAGGATAGATGGATCAGTGGCTACTAGGCAGGAGGGGTGGCTATACAGAACATTTGGGTTCAGCTGCAGTGTGCAATTGAACACTAATTGCTGAAAAGGTACTGCAGGAGAGCAGTTTGCCATTAGGCCCTGCATGTGGGCTTCCCCAAAAGCATTTAACTGGCCACTGCAGGAAACCAATGGCTGAACTAGGACTAGATTGACCACTGATCTGATCCAGCAGGGCTCTTCTTATGTATTTAACAATCTTACTTGAAGCTAAAGTTTTTAAGATGGGTGCTGATGCAAATAATACATGTTGGTTTGCTTCTTTGTCTTGAAACAACACCTAAATTCAAAGGGAATCGCAAAGTGGCATGCAACATGATAAAAGCATAAAATACAGCAGCAGAAAACAATACCATAAAAATTCAGAGAATCCAAATATAACTAATCAACAGCAACCACCCAGGAACACAGAAAGCTTTTTAGCATGCGGGGGGGGGGGGGGAAGCTAAAATAGCTGGTGCATGCCTTATTTCTAGAGGGGGGCTGTTCCACGTTGCAAGTCCTACCACATACTAAAAGCCCTTCTCTAGGCAGCTGCAAGGCAGATATCAGGATATCATGTTATGAGCTTCCTGCACGGAAAGGTTGTTCTCTAATTGGAGCGCTCGTAGGCCAGTGTTTCCCAGTTATCAGTGCTTATGTTACTTTTTAAAGATTTGCCTTGAGAGAGTCTTTAAACCTCTTTTGTTGACCACTGGTATTTCTCTTTCCATTCTTGAGTTGGGAATAGAGTAGTTGCTTTGGAAGACGATAATCAGGCATCCAGACAACATGACCAGTCCAACGAAGTTGATGTTGAAAAATCATTGCTTCGACACTGGTGATCTTTGCTCTTTTCAGTACACTGACATTAGTTCGCCTGTCTTCCCAAGTGATATGTAAAAAAAATTGGAGACACCATTGATGGAATCTTTTGAGGAGTTGGAGATGGCATTTTTAAGTGGTCTTTTATGGCTCATCCATCACTCAGTTTTCTTTTTGGTGTGATTCTTTGACCCTCAAACCAGTAACTGATAACCCAGTGCCAGCTCTCTTTGTATTTCCTATACTTCTTGTAACTATGACATTGTTTTGCATTTGTTCTGTTGTGTTGTTATTTGGGGGGGGGGAATCAATAAAAATACATCTTTTAAAAACAGAACCATTTGTAATGTGCTGTCAGTATATGGAAACATCACCGCTGCAGACAGCCAGATTGTTGACATCACATGATGTGGCTATCTGTGGGAAAGAAGAATTTCCCCGGATGTTCATAGGCTGGATAAGTCTTTGTGAAGAGTGTAATTTGAAACCTTCCGTTTGCGCATGTTCAGCAAGTTTGTCAGATGTGCTGGAAGAACTGAACTGAAAGGACGTGTTTTCCTTTAGTGCTGTAATGTCAGAAATAAACATCATGTAAATAGATTTCTGACTACTTTTCTTTCCCTTTCGGAAGCAGGAGGAGGGGGGTTGTGCATTTTACCCACGCTTGGGAAAATGTCGCCTATCAAAATCTCCCTGGTGTGTCCGAGATATCAGCCAGAGGAGGTTACCGGTAAGCAAGCTCTGAGGACAGTGAGAGGGGCCAGCCTCTATGGAGGGGGGCTTGCAAACCAACATGTGCTAAGGGGGTTTCTAATGGATGTGATGAAGTCCCGGCATTCAGAAGGGGAATAAGTTGCCATTCCTTAAGCCAGGAATGGAGAACTTGTGGCCCTCCACATTTTCCTGGGCTACATAATAACTGGCCATTGGCAATACTGGCTGGCTCTGATGTGACACCCAGAGGGCCACAGGTTCCCCAGCCTGGCATTAAGTTATACTGCATCAGGCAAAAGGAACCTCGCTTCCCAGGCTAGGCACATTCTTCTTCTGTTCCTCCTTTCCTATAGTCTTTGGCTTGCCCTACACCTCTTCGAGATCAGAGCAGTAAAGCCAATAGCAGCTTGGAAACTTTATGGAGGGTTGATTCAATGACCTGGGAGTGATGTGGATGCATTGTGGGTAGAAGAGAGAATGGGCAGAGCAAAGAGCGAAAATGGCCAAGAGCTGCAGAAGTGACGAATCACATATTGATTTGAAATTAGCTAGACAGGTTTTTGGCTGCAAGCCTTGTGCTGTAATGATTTTTATACGAGTTGAAATGGAGAACGGAAGACTGTAGAGGTGGGGGTGATGCTACTGGGACCTGAATGCGAAGAATGAGAGCAGCATACTGAGACACATTGCTAGGAATCTGTGTTACTAGGACAGAATATTAGATGTGGCTTGAAATGCCAACCAAATCAGATGCAAGGTGTGTCCTCTCATCCTGTATAACCACAGGGGCTCACAGTGTGAAGCAGTGGGGTCTCAGTGGTGGCACAACAGGACATTGACCTCTCGGTTTTTTTAGCTTTCCCTTCAGTGCAAATGCTACTGTTCATGAACAAATTTTCCAAAGGACAACTGACACCCCAATGGGGAGGTGCAATCTATATTGTACTCTGATAAAGCTTTACGCAGACATGTTGCGGTTCAACAGTGGGATTAGCATTTGCTCTGTTTAAGACATTTAACCTAATTGGGCTAACTTTGAAGATTTGCAATGAATTACGCAAAGTACCTGTCTATAGCAAAGCCTGATCTAATTGCATAACTAAGAACTACTGTCAGGAACTAAATACCTTTGGTGTAATCCATGCATAGCCTATATAATTTTGGCATATTTTAGTGAGGTTAGTTTGTCACATTGACACAATGAGGGCAAGCCATAAAAAACCCCATACGAAGGGGGTTGTACCTCCTCTAAATCTCGCAAACACATGCAAAATATTAGTAAATCATAGGCTTTCTGGTAATTATAGTGAATTATGAACATTTCAAAAGTGGGAAGTGCAATGCAGGCTTAAAGTGCTACTTTATAATTTGCATCAAGCTGAGTCTTCTTAGTGTTGCCCCAGAATCAAAGAGCGTATACATGTGAATAACTACAACACACAAGATTGTGTTAATATTATGAGTGCAAGGGCAAAACATATCCATTGACTTCTATAGGTCTAATCTGTGTAGACCTTAGTTGGAGACGACAGCCTCATATTTGTGTGTGTTCCTTGCAGGTATAAAAAGGCTTCTATGGATTTCATTTAATGAACCTTAAGAAATTTGTTCTCTTGAGCTTTAAGAAAATGACAAAATGGCGTAGGAGGATGTTTGGTCAGGGCAGAAGCCCAAGGGTCAGATAGAAAGGGAAGGCTGCATTTGGCCCACAGGGTCTAATGTTCCCCACCTCTACAGTTTATTTACTCCAAATGGTGATCTGTGTCCATGCAGCCAGAATCTCCTCTTTTCTCTCTGTTAGGTGGGTGCTCACTCTTTTCGCCATAAAGGTTACCTTAGTACACCATGAATCTGTGGGTCCAGAAGCCTGAGGAGGCGTCACAATTCCATGAACTGTTCCAATAATAAATTACAGTGGCAGCTGGTTGCCATTGGCTTACTACCATGACACATTACGTGGGAGAGTTGGTGTAACGTGTTCATGTTTTATTATGTGAAAAACATTACTGGTAGCCCTTAAGTCACTTGGGAGAAGATCTTAATCAAAGCTGATAGAATGATAACTAAGTAGCAAATAATTCACAAGTTGAAATTTAGCTCTTTTCTACATTAACCAGTAGTTTCCGAGGGTCTGCCTCTCTGCCTCCACCACAAACTCCTCAGAGCCCTGCCAATCCCTGACATGGGACCACAGTTGACTGCCTCGTCAGGCTCCAAGCAAGGGTGGCCTTTCCATCAATAGTTCTGATCTCCTTTGCCCTTATCCAGTTGCTTCCCACTTTTTACTTCCTAAGTCTATCCTTTTTCTCCCCCGTTTTAAGCGGGGAACAGTCATTGTTTTGGTCCCCACCTATGCCTCCATGGCTTAGTGGCTGTGGGGGGAAAAGTTCCCTGATGGATAAATTTTACTAAGTATGATCTAGATCAGGGGGAATCAATGCCTTCCAGATATTGTGGGACTCCAACACCCATTTTTCTGACCGTTGGCTGTACTGACTGCAGCTGATGGGAGTTGGAGCCAACAATGGTTGCCTCGCTGTTTGCCCCTGAAATAGTTGATGGGCTTTTCTGACCAGGAAAATACATTTTCCTTGCACCTGAACATGTAAAATCCAATGAATTTCACCAATAACCAAGCTTTCCTGCTGAATAGTATTGTGGGAGTAATTTATTAATGCTCAAACACACACAATGCTGTAAGGCTAGGCCAATAAAAACTCTCAGTGTAGCTGATCATGAAAGAGTTTAAATAGCATGGGGAGTTTTAATGTAAAGTCATGGGGAAAATTATCATTTGATGCAGCAAAAGTAATTATGAATCATATAATTTCCTAGCATGTGTGTGTGTGTGTGTGTGTGTGTAAGCAAATACCCGGTAGCCACCAATTCAAAACTATTTATAATTTTAGCTTGTATAATTTTAGCACGTTGCATTTCATATTTAGTATTATTAAAAGATGCAGATTATTTTTAGCACCACAAACATTTTCAGACTGCAATACTTCTTTGTCAATTATTAATTTCTTCATTCACAATGCTTGAAATTGCACCCAGGAGCCTTATATTTCTAAATTTTCTTTCTTGATTAATTTCTCTTTTAAAAGAATAGGGAAGATATAAATATGTAGGTTTCCATATATTCAGCTCTGTCCTAATTAATGCAAACACTCTGCAAGTCCCTTTAGCTGTGGCAATAACACTAATGGGTTTCATTAGTGAGTCTGCATCTTTCATTCTCCCTAGCAATACAAAAAATCATTGATGCTTCCAGCCTCAGAAACATTGCTAGAGTAAATAGATGTGAAATTGAACTTCACTTCCTATGTACTCTTGGGAATGTTTTCTGTTCTAAGCTGCACATTGAAGAGTAAAATTGCAAAATAGTTTGGTTCTCACCCCTCCCCCCATTACGACTTGCACACAAGGCTGAGATCTTTTATGATTCGTCTCATGCACGAAGAACCTTCATTTTGGGAGACTTGTAGAATGAGGATTGTAACTTTTCAGCACAGGAATTATCAGATGGCAGGATAACTATCAAGAAGCAAATGTTTTATTGGTTGTTGGTGATATATATATTTACTTGGTGGTTATAAATTGGCACCAAATCATCCTGTGTTTTTCCAGCAACACCAGCGAGTGTTTTTCTAATGTGCAATTTTCTACACCACATAAATGCTCAGTTCAGAATCAGTTTTGTGCAGTGCTACTCGAAAATTGCTGCAATTCTGAGTTAGCAGTCAAAGAAACAGGGAGAGAAGTAAAAAGGGTATTTCTTTGTCCCACAAATATCTTGCAATGCAAAACATTTGTTGCATGTTCCTGTGTGATTTGAAGGGGGCAGGGAAACAAGCTTGAAGGACTCCAGGTACTTTGATCATGTGTATGAACTCTGTTTCCTGTAGAGTTTGCTTACTTGGGGCTGAAAAAACTGGGAAGTCACCACACTAGTACATGTAGAGAGACTGTGCTTGACTTTGTGACTTGTGTACATTCTTGATGCTAAGGATAAATTTGTGTCTGTTTGGTTGGTTGGTTGGTTGGTTGGTTGTTTCACAACCTATTTATTTATTAAAATGTATACACCACTTGATTGTAAATGATATCTTCAAACTTCAAATGAGTGAAAAACAAATGCAAGTGGGAAAATGGGTAGTAACTGCTTTTGCTTTCTATGCATAGGTATGATAGACAATGTTAGTGAAAGTCATCTGTTATGGGTGAGGTGAGGGTGCTTCTCCCTTTCCACCTTCAGCTATTAGCTCCATCAAAGCTGACAGCACTGGCCATCTGTTTTGGGATGCTTTTGAATTCTCCCTTCTGCTACATGCAAAATTTTTTGGACTGGAGCCACAATAGACAAACCCCACAGAGGTTTTTTTTTTTTTTAATGGCACTAAATGAATAGTGTCAGCTTCCATCAAGTAAATATTGTATTGTGCTCTTTAGTTAAAGTAGTATACTGTAATTATGGATCTTTACATCTCAGTGTCTGTGTAACAAGTTTTAATACCTGGCAAACCACTTTGAAGCCTTTCTTTGGCCTTAAACACTGTACAGTGGTACCTCGGGTTACATACGCTTCAGGTTACAGACTCCACTAACCCAGAAATATTACCGGGATTAAGAACTTTGCTTCAGGATGAGAACAGAAATCGTGCTCTGGCAGCACGGCAGCAGCAGGAGGCCCCATTAGCTAAAATGGTGCTTCAGGTTAAGAACAGTTTCAGGTTAAAAATGGACCTCCGGAACGAATTAAGTACTTAACCTGAGGTACTACTGTATAAATTAATAAACAAATGGTGATATGTAAGTTAAATGATGAACACGTGTAAGAGCTCGGCCATGTGGTCAGCAGATACACTTGATGGTTCTGTGCTGGATTGTACCACTTCAGATTGTGAGTGGGATATCACATGATTGACTGCTACACTAAAAAAGAAACACAAAGCCCTTCTCCTTGCACATACAAAACAAACATGCCACTGGGAGAAAACATAAAGCGTTTTGAATTGCAAAGAAGAAATATTATCATGAACCTTAAAAATTGCAGATGAAGAAAGATGGAAATAATTAGACTCAGCATGGAGGGAAAACACAAATTAATTATTAAACAGGAAAACATAAAAGCGACTGAGATTGGCAAAATAAAGAATAAAATGGAGCTTGCAGCATAACCCACCAGAGATGGGTGAACGGAAAATAGACAGGGAAACTAAACCGTGATAAGAACAAGGACTGGTAATGTCACAAAAAAATTAAAAGCAATCCAGGCATCATTTTATGCAAAGTAGCATATGATCCAGGATTCAGAAGGATGAGGAGACTAACAACAGCAGAAAAGGCCCTTGGTAGCGAGATGATTAAATATCTTCAGAAGAGGAACACAGGTGGATATAATGCAGACATATATAACCAGCTATTTATAAACCTTTTGAAGAACTACAAAGTGAGTTCCATTTCATTAAGCAGAACTTCTTTTCAAAGATCTGACATTTCTGCTTACAGGTTTGACATTTTCTGACAACAGGTAGTGCCATGAACACAATTATGTCTGGTGGGGGGGGGAGGGAATAACTGAAATGCACTATGAATTTCTTAACAGGTACAGGAGCAGGAAATGGTGTGAGGGAACCAAATTTAACCACAGACGATTTCTCTGTGAGGCTTATTATGCTCCAGGGGTGAAGTGCAGAAAAGGTTCATTACCATATTTTGTGCTAATGATGCAATGTCACGCTTTTTATTTTGAAAGTAGCAGAATGCCAATGACTGGGACAGGTGTGTGGCATGTCAAAAGGCCTGTACAGTGGTACCTCGGGTTACGAACTTAATTCATTCTGGAGGTCCGTTCTTAACTCGAAACTGTTCTTAACCTGAGGCGCACTTTCGCTAATGGGGCCTCTGGCACATGATTTCCATTCTCATCCTGGGACAAAGTTCGCAACCCGAGGTACTGCTTCCGGGTTAGCAGAGTTTGGAACCCAAAGTGTTTGTAACCCAAAGCCTTTGTAAACCCGAGGTAGCACTGTATATGTTGAGACCTTCTGAGATGTACAGTGTACCTCTGTGTATTAAATGTATAGGGACACATGACATACACTGTGGGATCCAATGACTGAGAATGGAAGACAGTTTCCCCCTATTTGTGCAGTGCTTTATCCCACTGTGGAGGCTGTCCAATTGCCTCCTGTGTCTAAAAGCAAAATTCAAGTCCAACAATTTCCCAAATTACTATTTCTTGGCTTTGGCTGCACAAAATCTTCTTCTGGAATCAATAGACTGCATATTTGCTTTTTCTATGTGGTTCATACACAACTTAGATCTACTGCATATTTTATGTGCCTGAAAAGTACCTCTTGAGAAACAGCGTTCATTCTGAAAATAAAAGTTTGTTGCAATTTGAGTCTGCATTAACCTGCAACGTGTCTATCTGAAAACAGATGTAAGTGGTCCTCGCAAAGGAAGGGGTTGTATCCACACTTGCTCATCTTGGCTGAGTATATACCAAGATTGCAATCGTCACTTCCTTCTTCATTCACATGGGATATGTGCAGGGAAGAAAAGTTGTAGGTAGCCTAATCAAAGGGTGGGTTTTCAAATGTGTATCAAGTAGCCACATCAGAACCAATCTAGCTCAAAAGTAGCATGCTGAGGATGAGCAGGAATGATTCCAGATTGAGAAAAACGACATGTTTGTGCTACTAACAGGTTAGTGTGTATGCAGCCCTTGTCTAAACCACTGAGCCTCTTGTGACTGCTAATTGGAAGTTTGGTGGTTCAAATCCGTGCAACAGGATGAGCTCCAGTTGCTCTGTCTCAGCTTCTGCCAACCTAGCAGTTTGAAAGCACACCAGTGCAAGTACCGTAGATAAACAGCTACTGCGTCAGGAAGGTAAACGGCATTTCTGTGTGCTCTGACACTCATCATGGTGTCCTGTTGCACCAGAATCTATTTAGTCATGCTGGTCACATGACCCAGAAAGATGTGTGTGGACAAATGCCGGCTCCCTCGGCCTGAAGTGAGATGAGCGCCACACCCCATAAATGCCTTTGATGGGACTTAACTATCCAGGGGTCCTTCACCTTACCTTACCTTTGCCACTGCAAGTTCAGCCTGTTCTTAATTTGTTAAGCAGAGCTGAGGCATCCAACTTCAGACCTTTAATAGTTCCCAATGTGGTCTGCAATATCCCACAGATTACTGAGCTGTCTTCAGGACTAGGAAGCTTACAATATTCACCAATAGGTGCTACTCTGCATGCTTCTCCCTATTCTCTCTACCTTAAAAGATCATGGTACAATAAGCATGATGAGAAAAGTGCTAGATGTGACTTTAGAACTTTGTTTAGTAGTAGGTGGAATTAATGCTTTGCAATGAGACCCCAAGTGCCTGTGTGTTGTTCCACATTTGCTGCAGAGCTTTTCAGCTCACTTCTTGGAGTCACTTTCCCACAGCTTATCTCTGAAGGTTCTGGGGAGAGGCGTGGTGGCTCTCTGAAATGGCACCTTGTAATTCATGCTGCCGAAAAGGTAAAAAGGTGCCACCTTCATATGCATGTGTGGAAGCACGCTGCATCTGTCCATGGGCCCCTCCGGATTCTAGATTCAGTGGCTAATTCAAATGGAATTGTTTGGGTGGAAAAGTACGGGCATGGTGCCTGAGCACCTGCTTGGTGTGACTTTTGGTCCTCTGTCCTAGAATATAAAATAATTCAGAAACTAACTTTCATATGCCTTCCCATCAGATGTCAAAGAAATAAACAACTATATGACTTTTAGAAGACATCTGAAGGCATGTCTAGGGACGTTTTTAATGTCTGATGTTTTAATGTATTTTTAATCTTTTGTTGGAAGCTGCCCAGAGTGGCTGGGGAGACCCAACCTGATG